ACATGGTGACGCCTATTATGTCGAATGAATCAAGCATATTTTCGACCAAAATGCGCCAATTTTGTGCACGGTGAGCGACACCTTCTTCTTCCAGTAAACATTGTTCAAATTGTTCTTCATTAATTTTCGGATATCTGGCCTGTTCAATACGCCCAAGCAAAAAAGACACAAAGGCAATTGCCGATGGCAATTCTATACTACTAAAGGCATACTCAATAAACATGTCATTAGTTCATAATTTTAAACAAAAATGCTTACCTTCTTTAATTTTCGCTTTGCTCAATCGACGAAAAATTTGCTTAATAAAATCAAATAAGCAGATAAAATTGATTGTAAATGAATGGAATTTGTTGATTTTAAAAAATATTGAGCACTTAAAATATAAATCTAAGCAATTTTCTTTAAATATTCGAAAAAAATTAAAAGGTAATAAATTTTGGCGAGGAAAATCATATTTATTTTAAGAATATTTAATATTTGTTTGAAAAGGTGATAAAACTCGATAGTTTTTGTGATTTTTTCGATTTTTTGTACAGGATATGTATTCGAATATGATCGGATCTTGGAATAAATGCCAGATTCGGTTTTTTCGTGCCAAAAAACCCCCCAATACCAATTTTCACAATAATCGATTAATAAACACATCATCTCCCAGAATAGTGGAAAATGGAAACTTCAAAAAAATTTTTTGTATGAAGTCATGAGCCAACTAAGAAAAACGGTTATCACCGATGAATTCCTTGGCCCGGAATTAGGTAGGAATGACTAGTCCCGTCTCTGTCGTTTTTTAAAATTGAAAAAAACTAGGACAGTGTATTAATAAGTACAGATTTAAATTTTGCTGTAACAAATTACGATTGTAGCAATGCATTGCAGTAATTACAATTGTATAGTTACTACAGAAAATTGAAGTTATCGTAATGTTTAGCTATTCCTCAACGCATAAGAATTGAAAAAACTTTCATTCGAATTACAAAAAAACATAAATGTACCTGATATAATTACTTAAAAACGACTATTCCTTTATTGCTATCCATTCGTTTGATAATTTTTTCATTATTTCCATTACTTCCATTATATGCATTTGAAAGAATCAGAATCAGAGCTGTCAACGAACGTTCGTTCGTTCGTTCGTAGGCAAAACATATTTTTATTTTGTTCGTTCTTTCGTTCGTTTGTAAGGTGTATATTATTAGTGAAATTGAAAGTAGATTATATTTTGTGAATTTTGGTATTGAAAACATAAATTATAGGAAAAAATTGAACAAAACAACTACTATTTACTTAAAATAAACAACGTAATAGTCAATATAATAATTGAATTTGCATTGTTAAAAATCGATAAATTTATTACGATTTATTAAATTACTGTTTTATTAAACAAAATCAAAAAACATAAGATACAATAATAATATTAAATTATTCATAAAAATCAAGTAAAATTAGTAATCGATTTTGCGATTTTTTTACAAAATAATAATTCATAATAAAATTATCAATTATAGAAAATGTACAATCTTATACCTATAGTTGGATAGAATTTTATTCCTGAATAGCTGGAAAAAGTCTTCAATTAGAATATTACAATAATAATTGAAATTATTTGCTTCAATTCATTTTATTAGTTGTCATTGATATTACGGGGCAGACTATTGTTGTTGTGACAAAAACAATACATGCATGCACTACTCAGCTTCATCTCTGATGAATAGTTGCTATTTTGAGCGTCATCACATTTATGATTGTTTGTGTAAGTATTGTTTCTATCACAGCAACAATATTCTGCTCAGTAAAATCGATGAAAATTAATAAAATGAATTCAAATAAATTATTTTATATAATGTTTTAATATTTGAACTAAAGTCTTTTTCCAAATATTTATGTATAAAATTAAATATGTTCGGATTTTTTATTAAAAAGTTTTAAATGCAAATCGTTTGATTATGATCGTTGTTTATTTTAAGTAAATAATATTTTTTTGTTCAATTTTTTCTCATAATTTATGTTTTCAATAACAAAATTCATAAAATATAATCTACTTTCAATTTCACTAATAAAATAATTATTTTATTTTCATACTTTTCCTACGAACAACGAACGAAGAAACAAACGAACGAACACCTTACGAACAACGAACGAACAAAAATTCAATAAAAATAGCTTCGAACGAATTGTTCGTTCATTGGTGTTCGTTGACAGCTCTGATCAGAATATCAAAAGCTATTTAAAATGTAAGATAGTGAGGCTTGTCGAAGGGCTTGAATTATTGCGTGAGCCTGAAAAAAATTTCGTTTTAAGGTCCATCAAAGTCTTCATCCTCCACTAGTATAAGCGTTTTTAATATACCAAATGTATGTGTATGTGTTATTCACAACACATGTAAAAATTACCCACCAGCTATTTTTATCATGAAATTGTCATAAATACATATATTCAATTTGCTAAATTTTTCATTTCTGATAAACTCACAGGAAAGGCTAATATGGACAAGCAAAATGTAAATTTGCAAACTGGTTTACATCTAGCCGTCGAACGGCAACATGTTCAAATTGTAAAATTACTTGTACGCGAAGGTGCCAATTTAAATATACCAGATAAAGATGGTGATACACCACTGCATGAAGCTCTACGTCATTACACACTCTCACAGCTTCGTCAATTGCAAGACGTTGAAGGATTCGGTAAACTGTTGATGGGATTACGTAACGTAAGTTGAACCAAATCAGTTGAACAAAATCAGTAGAGTACCCGAATGACATTCACAGAATTTTAGTGAATATTCACAAAAATTTAAAATTCTAAATATGTCACCAGATTTTCAATACGATATCTTATTCAACTTAAAAACAGCTGGAATTATAAAAATTGTTCGACACAGAATTAATGACCAATTCTTGATTCCAAAAAATTCAAACATTATAATTTTCGAGACAACGTTACAGAAATTACAATTTTTCGAGAACTTATAAGTTCAATTCAATTAAAAATTGTGCTCAGATAGAAATTCTTAGTTTTTCACCCTCCAAAAGGGTATTTCGAAATTTGCACGTCCTGGTCATTTCAAAATTTTCCTCAACTCTGAAGGGGTCATTCCTAGGGGGTGTATCTCAGAAAATTTGGCTCAAAATACCTTATTAAACTATTTTCTCCTGCATCAGAAAGTGAAGAGCTAGAAAGAAAGCCTTCACTTTTTTCGCGAAAATCCCCAGAAAATCGAAAGAATATTTCTATTATTTTTTCAATTTTTAAATGGGCAATTGCCAAATCTGTTCGCCAGGTAATCCAACCCCTTGGACCCCTGGTTAGAAGCTATGCCGGCAATATATGATCGAACTTTTCGTTACGAACATTTGAAATGTTGGTTTTGTTCCTTTTTTATTTGTAATAAATGAAAAACTAATTTAAAAACAAATATTTTCCCCATTTCAAAATTTCTCATATATGAGTCAAATTTTGCATGATAATTTAAATCGACTTTTTTTTACATAGTGCGAATAAATACAACAAAACTATTTAAATTGCTTTTATTTATTGCATTAATACCGAAATAAAAATTTTAATCTCTCAGTGATATTTCTTATTTACGTCATTTTTCAATGGAATTACTACGGTTGGATATTTTGATTTTTTTTATAATTCCGTCTGTTTTTATTGGGTACTTTGACTTAATTTAATGACACATTTTTGAAACATTTCATGTTTTCATCGCTTAGCATACGGATAAGAAAGCTTCAGCATCAATTGCATGTTTCTTGGCAGCCAATGGGGCTGATTTAACGATAAAAAATCGCAAACTACAAACGCCATTGGATCTGTGTCCAGATCCAAATCTTTGCAAAGTTTTAGTGAAGTGTTACAACGAGCGTAAGACTGACTGACCATTATTTCCATTACTTTTGATTTATTTTTCCTATATCCGATCTTTTCATAGGTAAGACTGACGATATGGATCTACCCGGAAACATGGCAAACATGGCAATCAGCGTTAATTCATCAAACGTTAATATTCAATCGGATCAAAATACAAATGAAACAATCTTAGAAAACGAAACAAATATAAGCACAACTACCCAATTGGAAGAATGTTTAATATGCTCGGATCTGAAACGTGATACAATATTTAAGGTGAGACAAAGAGAATATGAACAGTTGGCAAATGTTGAATTGTTAATCAATAAAAATACTTATAGCCTTGTGGACACGTTAGCTGTTGCGATACATGCGCACCACGTGTTAAAAAGTGTTTAATATGTCGAGAGACAGTATTTTCAAGGGAAAAAATTGACGAATGCCTTGTATGTTCGGATAAACGAGCAAGCATATTTTTCAAACCATGTGGCCATATGGTTGTTTGTGAAAATTGTTCGAAAATAATGAAGAAATGTGTACAATGTCGTACGCAAATTGATGAAATGGTGCCACTATCTGTCTGCTGTGGTGGCACAGGTGCTGTAGAAAAAGTATGTATATTGCGACGATTCCATATCAAATCGATCAAAATCTGGAAGCATGGTAAAATATTGTGCTCAAATTTTGTATATATGTTGGCCCTCATGAGAAACTAAGATAACCAAAATTTGGGACCTTACTTTTCACAAAGTCGTAAAAAATCAAGGAATCAATTTTCGAAAAAAATGGTCAAAAATCGAAAAAATTGCATTTTCCCATTCAATATAATTTGTAAACTTTTGTTTAAATACCCAGATATATGTATATCGTTGAATAGGTAATCGATAGGTCAAAACCCATAGCAATTTTTACTTTGACCCGATTTTTTGACCCAATCGGGGGCAGGGGGAACCTACGAGGGGCACCGTCGGGTATCTTAGTTTCTCATGAGGGCCAACATATATACAAAATTTGAGCACAAAATTTTACCATGCTTCCAAATTTTGATCGATATGATATGGAATCGTCGATTGTTAAGTAAGCGTGAGCTTGATCAAATTTCTCAATGTTTATTTAATTGATTCAATAGGTTTCAGCATCACTTGATGACAAAAATGATAGCGAATTAATGTTGGGCATCAATAAATTGGGCATTAACGTTGCAATGAATAATACAGTATCTGCAACACCTTCAAATGCTGCTGTTAATCAAACGAACACAAATATTAATAATATACAGTTGGATGACGTACAGAAACTTCAACAACAACTGCAAGATATCAAAGAACAGGCAAGATAAATGCATTGCATTTTTCATTATATTACCACTATCATTTCAATTGTTATTTCCATTTTTTAGACAATGTGTCCGGTTTGTTTTGATCGCATTAAAAATATGGTCTTCCTTTGTGGTCATGGAACATGTCAAATGTGTGGCGATCAAATTGACGGATGCCCAATTTGCCGTAAAACTGTTGAAAAACGAATACTGTTGTTCTAATGACGTTATCGAATAATACGGAAGTCCACGCTAAATATAGCCAGACTTCATGATAAGAACTATTAACATTGTTCCTTAAATTAAACTAAATTAATTTTTTCATTTATTTGTTTGATTGATTGATTGATGATTTTAATGTGCAATTTGCAGTGTGTGAACGATGCTATTCGACAATAAAGTATTCTCAGTTTTTCCATCGTCGCTATTTAATGTATTACACTATTACTATCATTACTGTTGTCAGTCAATTCAGTGTTGCTCAAAACGATTGCATCTCCTTCGCTGCTTGATGACCACCAAGACTGATATGAATCATAATCGGCTTCATTGGAATTTGTTGTTTGTTACTGAAATGTAAATAACAAACACACATTATACACTAATCACATGAATTCGAAAATTGTATACATTATTAATTAGATACAAATGAAAACAATTTATCAGTCGACAACGAAAAATCAATCAATTCAATCGAAAATTGACGATGTCGTGTCAGTTATTTTGAAAGACTTTGAATTTTGAGTGAAAAAAATTAAAGCAACCAAAAGTTTATGTCAATAAGAAGAAAATCATAGGAAAGAAACGCCGAAAAGAGACGAGTTGCTATTCTAAAAATTACTTTTAAAAATAAATCGTTCACCTTCAAAAATTCAAAACTCATAAACTCAGGTGGATCGGTTATATAATACGGAAGTCCACGCTAAATATAGCCAGACTTCATGATAAGAACTATTAACAATATATTCCAATATTTTTTCTATTTCTTTATATTCTGAAAATATTTATGTTCCCATTAAATATACTACCAGCTTTTGGCCGTGGGTCTTAATGTGAAACGTGGGGCATAGTTGCCCTGTTTAGAATATGCTGACCCCAGGGGGGTCGGGGGTCATAACTCCTTCACCCATGATTTTTTTGACTCGAAACCTCGAAATTCGGAATCAGCATCCCAAATTACTCTAGAAATGATATTTGTCTCGTGCCCATTCACCCCAAGTCTCCCAACAATTCAGAGCCCCCCAATTAGGGTAAAATGATAAAAAGTCGATTTTTCACTTTTTGGGTGCGGAATTTCGCACTCAAATGTATGGCCAACTATAACTAATTTTATCCGCACAAAATCGACTTTTTATCATTTTACCCTAATTGGGGGGCTCTGAATTGCTGGGAGACTTGGGGTGAATGGGCACGAGACAAATATCATTTCTAGGGTAATTTGAGATGCTGATTCCGAATTTCGAGGTTTCGAGTCAAAAAAATCATGGGTGAAGGAGTTATGACCCCCGACCCCCCTGGGGGGTGGGGGGACTTGGAGGGCAGGGGTCCTAAAAAATTTCTCTCATCATTCTGAACAACTTTATAGTACATTATTTTTTGATGAGGTTTTGACATGGTTGGGTACTCCCCTGTCCCCCAATTGGGAGCTTGGGCACCCCTCATTTTCACAAATTTATTTTTTCAGCATATTCTAAACAGGGCAACTATGCCCAGTTCAATCGGTGAGTAACACTATGGGAGCATTACTGGTAAGAAATATCCATATTTAGAATTTTTGTATGAAGAGCCACAAATTTAGTTCAGTTAAACCTTTGGCGATACCTACAGTTGATCAGAAGAAAAGAATGGAAGAAATAGAAATTAATCAATGAGGAATGGAACAGAATGGAAAATGAATCGAGGGAATGGATCAGGAATTGTAGAGTAATGGAATAGTAATTTTTAAGTAAGTATGCCATTCTTTGGCGATAAAGAATACATATTTCACATTGTGCAGCATAATGTGAACCCAACCTAACACAACGTTTCAATTTTCTATTTCAATTCTAATGATAAATTTCTCCCAGAAAAAATAATAAACTATGTGTATACAACTGATGTTTTGAACAAATATCATTTTATAAATGTTTTTTAAAGAATTTATTGATTTTTCATTTCATAAATGTAAGCATCGTAATATAAGACAAACGTATGAAATCTTTGAACGAAGGCCGAATACAAATATATTTTGCTCAAAATACAAATGGAGAAAATTTTAGCGTAAAAACCAAATATCTTTGAAGTCGGAATAAAAGTAAAATAACTCGACTTATTTTATTTTCACTCGCAATTTGTATAAATTTGGTTTTTAAACTGAACATTTTTATATTAGGTTTTCATGCGTGTTTTTCAAATAACAATAATTGGTTTGAGACTCAAACTTTGAGTTTAACTCAACTCATCGGTTCGCTTCCATAAGAAAATACATGGTCCACACGTTCGTAGAATGAGAAGAAACTCAATTTATGCCCAATGTGTTATTTTATGGTCGAGATTTTATCTCGCTCATCCTTGTATGTATTATTGTGATTACAAACAACATTCTGTTCAATGCAGTTCTCACTTTTATTTTGCTGCGCAATAAAAATCATCAACACAAAACTCAAAGCGATGGCCATTGACAACAATTTTTTTTGCGCAGCAAGATTTTATTGCGAAAAGTATGTGAATAGAATGTCGCTTGTAAACACAATGCCATATATAGAACAAATATGCAAGGATGAGCGAGACAGCATGAGACAACAACTTGCCAAGCACGATTTTGGTGACAGGGATAGCAA